GGGGGGGGGGAGGGAGAGAAAAAATGAAGGATTAAATTAAGCTCCTTCCTGGGTAGTCCCTGCCCCCCTTTTCCTGGCTGCTGCAAGCTGTGGCCAGGAGAAAGGGGGAAAGGAAGTCCTTTCCTGGGTGATCTCCTCCCCATTCTCCTAGCCATGGTGAGCCACAGTTTTTATTCCTTCCCCCCTTTCTCCCAGCTGTGAGAAGGGGGGAACCGAACTTACTGGACTGGTTCAGTTTGGGTGGAGTTCTTTCAGTTCAGAGTTTGTTTTGGAGGCTGTCTTGAATCCCAAACTGCCTTTTTTATGTGTATGCCCATTCCTAATTAATAGTTAAAGTTCATCAAATAACAGAACTCAAAATTTGTACCTGGAAGAAGGAACTCCCTAAGGGGTGGGGAGCCAGGCCAAGAGTCAGTCAGGATTGACATATAGATTCTTCCCTGGCACCCATAAAAGTGACCAGTTAAAACTCAGTTTGTTCCTCTGTCCAAACAGATGCCTGCCTGCCTGCCTGGATTGGTCTTAGAGCTGGGTGGATCAAGCCTCACTGAGAACCAGTTCCCACTTCTCACTGAAAGACTTGCAAAACCTCAGGCTATGATCTCATTAAACTACAGGAAAAATCACAGTCCTCACTATTGGCTAGTTCTTTTCCCTTTCCCCTGCAGCAGCTCCCTTCTTTGAAGTCTTTACCACATAGGTATTGAGTCTCTAGCAATGCTTATGTAATCTTACGTTATGCAAGTTAATTTATAGGTACTGCATTATGGGAAACAATTATTTATGTCCAGAAGAGTCTTCTGAAAGTAGATTGTTACTTTGTTACAAAGAAGTCTCAGGTACTAATAAAATAATTAACTTTTTTTTTCTTTGTGCAAATTGATCCCACTTTTTGTTTCCTCATCCCATGTTCTGTCCATAAAACGTATGCATTTTTAAGTGTTGCTTGGGCATCAAGAAATCAACCTCACATAAACAAATGTATACACACACATAGTATACATATAAGTGGGATACTTTGCACATATAAATACAAAATGAAGACCATACCATGTGTACACATGGGAAACAAACCTCCAAAACCACCAATGAAAGCTGAAGAATCAAATACTGACAAAATATGCAAATAAATTTTTGAAATCAGCAACATAGAAAACATTTGCTTATCCATAGAAAATAATATTGACTTACTTTACAGGGTTTTTTTTAAGTATAAAAGTTGGCCCTGGAGACTAAGAAGTGTTACATGAATATGTATATAAAAACGTATTCACTAATCAACCTTTATGTGTCTTTATAGTTGCTCCAACCATTCAGGAAATAAAAGCCAGCGGTGTGACACTTGGAGGGGCTGGATTCATCAGATGCGAAAGTGCGGGTGTTCCTTCTCCAGCCTTCGAATGGTACAAAGGAGAAAGAAAGTAAGTTTCTAGAGCATATCCACGTTCTTTCTGAAATTTGGATGCCTTTCTCTGGATTCTGCATAGTGTTGTTGTTTTTAATTGTTATCTCAGGAAGCAGCCAGTCAGACCTGCATTGCTCTTCTCTTCCAATTATATTAGCCTACAAATATCATTTCTAGAAGGCCTACCTTAATATACATAGTGAAACTATCAAAACCAGTTTTCTGTTGTAATACAGGTGTATCTCAAACTAATTTGTGAAGACTGTGAAGCAAGCTTATATAATTACAAGTTCTGTAGAAATAATATTTATGCTCTGCACAGCCTAAATTTAAGCATCAAAACATTCTTTTTTTCAAATTAGGCTTCATGTGAGATGCTCCCTAAAAGCGTTGACTAAAAAATGTTGAGTTAAATCCCTGCCGTTATACTCAACTAAGTGGGGAACTCCAGGGGGTTTCCACCAGAACCTCTTTCTCCAAAGGAAGTTACCTCACTTAGCTGAGCAGAGTGGTAGGATCCAGCCCCCTTCATTCCATTAAAATTTATGAAACAAACATGATGTACATTTCAAAGAGCCTAATGAAAGACTCAAACCATGATACTGTTCTAATACATTGTAATATCATTAATGTATTCAAATATGAGACTAAAGATAGATATTCCTTCAGGCTCAAGCTGATGTACGATGTTCTCCATTCTTGCCTATTATCTCGGGAGTAAGAGTTTAATCCTTAGTTCCTGTGATGAAACACAGTGACAAAAACAAAAAGACACACACAAAATGTTTTCTCTGAAATGTCAGTAATTCCCTAAATGTGACTTTGAAAAGCATTTCTTCAGAAAGATGAGGGGCACTTCTGTTTTATGCACAATGTATTCATATATTGTAGCTTATACGCATATAGCAAGCACCTTTTTGAAAAAAAAGAGTTAGAGGCTGAGGTGAGCCAAAGTGAGTATAATTAAGGGCCTCTGGGACTCAAGAGTTTTAATTTGGGATGAGAAACTGTCCTTTATTGAACAGGGCAATCATTATTTCAGATACACAACAGAGAACAGATGTTCAAATTTATTTCATGTACACAGTGGTCTAAGGAGCAGCAAAGGGTCATTATACACAAAGTGCAGTGTGAAAGTATGTCTTCTGACTTTAAGGAGAGAAACTGAATTTTTGAATTCTCTTTCTTGTGCTAAAAAGAACTCCATGTTGAAAACTAGCACTTCGAGGGAAAAACATTTACAATTTCCTCCACCATTATTTATTTATTTAATTAAAATATTTATAGTCTGCCGTCCTCACTGGGACTCAAGGTGGATTACACAAAACAGGTCAAATAATCAACAGGATGGGAGATCTGTTAGACAATGCAGTAGGATTTGACTTGTTAAAACCGACTCAAGAACAAAAACAATGGTGAAGCAAAGCATAAGTATTAAAATGACACATTTGATGCAAAAATTATGTAGTAGGAACCTATACAAAGTATACATAGCAGTACAGTATACAGTCTGTAACCCAAGCTATGTGTAAATTGCCACAAAAGTATGAGCTGTCTTACTGTGACAATTCTGGTTAAATAATGCCTGAATGTTTCTGATCACATTAATTAGCCTTTAGAAATAGGTTTAACCAACAATTGTGAAAAAGTATGTAACAGATCCAAATAAAATCATCATTCTCTATTGTGTTTGTCTCATCATTATTCATAAAGCCACTGCTTGCTGTGGAGAATTCCTGAATTCATAGATTACAATTCAATGTTTGTGAATTTATCACATCACATATTTGTGTACTCTAGGATGGGTGGTGTGCCACAATAATGAAAAATTATTTATTTGCTTCATTTATGCCCTATTTTTCTCCCTAATGAGGACCCAAACCAGCTTTCTCCTCTCCTCCATTTTATCCTCACAACAACCCTGTGAGCTATGTTAGGCGGAGAGTCTGTGGCTGGCCCAAGGTCACACAGCACGCTTCCAGGGCAGAGTGAAGATTCAGACCTGGCTCTCCCAGATCCTAGTCCAACCCTCTAACCACTGCACCACACTGGCTCTGTAAAATAAAGTGCATGTAGGGAGCAACTGTAAGCAAATCTACATGAACACGAGTCCCATTTTATTCAATGTTGCTTACTCCCAGGAAAGTATTATTTCCGCATTCATGAATGAAATAATATTGATATCATGAGAATGATGTCACTGAAACTGAAGTAGATGAAGTGAATCACATAGTGGATTAAATAGGGTTGAAGTGGCTAGAAAACTTGTTCAAAATTAAAATGCACAGAGGGGCAAATGTTCATTTGCCAAATGCAGAAATAGCCCATTTCTTTTTGGATTTTGAAAAGGACCATTCATTTTTTAAAATTTTTTTAGTGTGCAGCTTATTGCTTTGGGAACCTATGTTTATATGAAAATCTATTTTATATGCAGAACTGTGTAGTGATTAAATAAAAAATAGAAGCATTAATGTAATGTAAAATATTAAATCATCAGTATGCAGCTATACCATTAATAATGATAGATGTGAATTTTGAGGCTGAATGCTGGGGAAAAATTGCATCTCTCTGCTGGATTTATGATGTGTTGCCTCCATATATCAAAATTAAATGGTAACTTGTTTCTATAAGCAAGAGTTCTGCTTTCAGAATGAAATATAAGCAATTCTCTGAGTAATCAAGCATAGCTAAGTATTTTCACATTTAACTAGGCTTCTCCTATATCTGAATGTGGTTACGTGCGCCCTGGTAATAAATGGTTCCAAAACAGGAATGTTTGGATTGGCCAAGACAGGCATCCATTGCTGCTCCATCCCTTCCTAGAGTTCTTTGTGCTAGGGAATCTTGTACAATGTCATGTCAATCTTCCAGCTATCATGAAATTCACATCTGGAGTTTCCTTACATTTGAGTAAATTTAGAATTTTCAGCATTATTGCTGGGGAGCAGTTTGCCCTGGCCCACTAGGAGTCAAAGGAGGCACAAAGCCTCATTGGGTAATTAAAATATATTGGCAGCCAATGGGGAGGTTCCTTTGGTTTTGATCTATTTGGCTGTGCCTCCTCAGAGCAAGCTTTTGCTGTTGGCTCCAGCCCACCCACCCTCCCTTTAGGAATCATAGGATTAGCCAGTCACCACTGGAAGCCAAGCAGGAATTTTTTGGGTTCCCTCTAATTGGCTGTGGAAGGTGCCTTTTCCCCCTGCTTTGTGTTGCCAGGGTGAAGATCTGTTAAACAGGCCTGGTAATGGACTGTGTAGGCCATAACTAGTTTGGCAGGGATTGGGTGGGCTGATCACGATAGGGATGATTGGCAAGCACCCGGAAACATCCAAGTTTTAGTGGGTATGTCCAGAACAGTGTATCACTGACTGTGTGGTGGGGTGCAGCTAGGAAGGAGTGGCCCTTGGTACTGACCAACATTTTCCCAAACCTGGTAGTGGCTGTGCAGCACATCAGGTGAGGGTGGTGGGTCTGGGCATCTCTTGGCACACTGTGTACAGACAATGATAAACAAAGCTGGCAGAAGATGTTGGATGTGTCTGGAGTTACAGTGGGTCTGTCAGAAAAGACAGCCACAGGCAATCTGCCTTAGCGTAGCTGCCCATTTAATATATGATTGATTAATTATTTAAGTAAAGTAGTTAAACCTGAGCTCTTGTCTCTTATCTTCTTTGAATGGGTGCCTGGGGCAAAAGGATGGCACAGCTGCTGAAATTTAGAGCAAACCAACTAGAGAAGGGCAAGAAGTGGAGGTATATTTTAAATATCCACAAGGGAGGAAGTCTAAATAAGAAAAGAGGAGAAGGAGACCTCCTGGATCAAACCAAGTTGTAAGGGAGAAGATGTTATATGAAGGAGTATATTAACTTGTCCTAGCAATTTCTCTGTCCTCCATAGGCAAGGTCACTTCACACTTACTAGTTTCTTTGTGCCCTTGAATAGTGCTTTGTACATGTTAAGTCAAGATGAGTTAATATCACTGTTTCATTCCATGTTGTTTCTTTTGTCAGTTACCCCTTCTACTGAAGATCTCCAAATCCCCCCTTATGCTGTTCTGAGAATGAGGTCCCCTGTCCTCCAGGAGCAGCATTTGGGGTAGGGTTGTCAGGTCCTCCCTGGCCACTGGCAGGGGATGGGAAGGTAGGTTTGGCAGATCCAGGCTGGGAAACTTCTGGAGATTTGCTGATGGAGCCTGGGGAGGACAGAGACCTCAGTGGAGTACAATGCCACAGAGTATGCCCTCCAAAGTATCCATTTTCTCCAGGGGAACTGACCCCTATAGTCTGAAGGGGAGCTGTAATCCTGGGGGCCTGGAGGCTGGCATCCCTCATTTTGGACTGCAACAGGAGGTGGTGAGGTAAGACAGTCCCGCTTCACTAATAGAAATCCCTTCCATCATCAGTGATTTACCATGGGATCCAAGGCCCAGGTTTCAGTGTACTCAGTTTTCTAATATAGGCTGATTCAGCACAGAACCCCGCCCCCCATTTCAGCAACTCTGTTTGTGCTCTCCTCAATCTGAAAGGGGGGGGGAATCCAGGGTGACATTGTTGAGATGATCCTTTTTATGTGCCTATATGGGAAGGTATACCTTGTATTGGAGTGAAAGGAAACAGCCCCTTCACCCCCTTCTGAAGGGAGGGGGTCAGGGCAATGTCATGTTTGTTTGTTTTGCCATCAAATTGTAGGTTTTTCAAGGCAAGCTTCATTCAGAAATGGTGTGCTATTGCTTACCTCTGTGTTGAGATCCTGGATTTCCTTGGTGGTCTCTCATCCCAGTATTTAACAGGGCCAACCCTGCTTAGCTTCTGAGAGCTTATAAGATCAGATGAACCTGGGCTACCCAGGTCAAGGCTACTTACATACCCAAGTCAGTTACTACATAGGGCAATGCGAGTAGCAAGCATTTTTCCTCTGCTGTCTAGATTATCATTTGAAAAGTCCCTGAAGTGCTCTCTCTCCCCTTCCTCCGAGGAGTAGACCATTTAGTAGACCATTTTCAATGTATACACCTTGCAGCAGTTAGCAGCATTACCAAAGGGTTTAAGTGTTGTTCTATTCTGGAACAGCACTATGCAAATCCGCAGGGTTTTTTTAAATGTGTAATATTGAGGTGGAAGGGAAGGCAGCATGGGGTAGCCTGATCTCATTGGGTTTCTCATGCTAAGCAGGGTGGGTACTTGGAAAGGAGACCACCACGGAAGACTCTTCAGAGCAAGGCAATGGCAAACCACCTCTGCTTCTCATTTGAAAGCCTTTGCTGGGGTTGCCATGAGATGGCTATGACTTGGCAGCACTTTTATGCTATTCTTGAGCAGCACTTGGTGGCACTATTATGCTATTCCTGAGCAGCACTACTCATGCACCCAATTTTTTTTAAGTGAGGAGAGAATCATGAGGGCAGCATGACAGTGGCAGGAGGAGAGTGAAGCAATCCTCATCTGGTGTGAAACAGAAACCATGGTTAACAAAGGTGGAAAAATTCAATTAACCTTCCTGTGCCATGTGAAATCTGTGTTGCAAGTGTGAATTCAGCACCAATCACACCAGCAGCATGACTACCGGGGGGGGGGGTGACTTCACATGGAATCTGCCATATTTTTGCTCCTAGAAAGATGCATTCCTACTGGCACAAAACATTACAAGCCATCTGTAAAAAATAGGGGGGGGGGAAATGAGGGCAGGCACTAAAGCGGAAAGTACTGCTTTATTCCTGCTAGATTTTTTGCCCTGTGATAAGAGAGAGTGACTGTCCTTTTAAGGATAGAAATATAACAGAGTTTACATATATTCCTTAAGTCCAGGAGGTGAGAAAAAGTGAGCATGCTATGGGAAACATATGTTGCTGACATCTTGTTCAAAGATATTATAATCCTTTACTTTTTCAGGTTTAGCATGGAATTGTTTACACACCCATCTCAAAACAAGCCATGCTTATTATAGTGGGACTTTCTGCTGAGTAAACAGGGCTGCTCATCATATATCATACCTTGGATTTCTGTGTAGATTGAAATGTGTCCAACTGCTTTCTTTCCTTTAACTTTGATTTATATTAGCTGCTCTTTTGGTGGGCAAATCTGAAGATGAAACCAAAGACAGTGGATTAGTTGCATCTATTTGGAGTGTCTGTCATGAACTGAAATGTTATTTTGGATGTACATAGGAAGAATTTTGAATACATACTCTTTGCATTCGGAATTTTGCATTCGGAATTTTGAATACATACTCTTAGCATTCGGAGGAATGCTAATGGGAAGAACCAAAGCCATTAGAAAAAAATAAAGATTTGCAACAGCAATGGAAGCAAGAAAACTTAGTACCAGTACTGGCATCAGTACTGGTTCAGGGTTAGGATCAGCATGAAATGATGTGCAAAGGCATGTTAATCTTGGGAGCCAAACATGCTGCATATTCAAAACAGGCATGTGGGTTGATTAAATAATTGCTGACCTTTACAAAAAAGGACTGCAGTAGAACCTAATAAATTGATAGAAGGTTATGTGATGGAAGAGAGGACATTTAATCTGACCTAAGACACAACTCTATAGTGCCTTGGCCCGAACATTGCATTTAAATCCCATTTGTGCTGGGGAATCATCCATATGGTTCTTGGTACGATCACAGTCTCTGGTACTTGATTCCCTGAGGATGATGGTGGTGGTGATGATGATGAATGGAAAAGGTTTGTAATTAATAGTATATGCAGTTTTAAGGATAAAGATGTCTTTTCTACCCTAGCCTCCCATGAAAGGAAGAAAGAGGACTCTGCTGCTGCAGGCTAGTTCAGCATCTACTACATAGTGCTCCTTTGCTGTGCCAAGACTCTGCTTGTTGTCTTGCTCGGCCTTGGCTCTCCCTGAATCTTTCCTGGTCTGTGTGTCTGTCATCTGCCTTTTTTTCACCTCCGGCTTTCTCCCTGATGTAGTTATATCACCCACATCTTGGTTTGCTCCCTGACATTTGGTAGTGAAAGAAAGCAAGCCCTCTAATTTTGGGCCTAGTTTTGTGCAGCAAATTGGCCATAAACCAGCATTCCATCTGCAGCATCCTCCCAGAGGCAGTGGGATCTCTCAGGCACTTGTCCTCAAGCACTTTTCCCCATCAATCCACTATTTACATTTCTTTTAATTTTAAAGTGGTTTGTGAATGTGGTTTGGTACAGCAGCATTGCTTCCTTGTGTTTTAAATTACAACTATTGGGACAGTATGGCAGTAACATATTCCCCAAGTAAGACACTGCCAGCACTACTTAACTTTGTTATGATCACATTCTTTTTCCTTTCCATTCTGGAAAAATCTCATTCAGGTATTGCAAGGTGATCAGACCCAAAAGCAAACAGCTTGATCTGTGGTGTCTAATAGGTACTGTCTTCCTTTTTGTTTCCCCTTTTAGACTGATCAACGGACAACAAGGGATTACTATTAAAAGCTATAGTTCAAGATCACTTTTAAATGTCAACAATGTGACAGAGGAGCATTTTGGCAACTATACATGTGTCGCTGCCAACAAACTAGGCACAACCAATGCTAGCCTTCTTCTTAACCGTAAGTCAAGCAAAAGGGTGATAAATATTCGTGTTTGGGTTGTTCTTTCCTCTATCCTGAAGAACACAAAACTGCAGCAGTGTTCCTGATGCAGGCTGTTCAAAAGGATTGTGACTCTTGCCAGTTACAATGTTGTAGACACTTTCTCAGTTTGTTTCATTTGGTTGTAGCTTGTTTTGAAGTGATCCCCCTCCCACCCATTTGGCTTAAACATTTTTCATGTTGGGTTAACCAGAGTGCAATGTGAATATGAATAAAATAATGCTGTACCAGACCAGGATGGATATGAGTCTCAGGGCTGGTTCACACATGGCCACGGAACGTGGATCTGACTTGTACTGAGGGTAGCCAGGATATAAGCCACAACATCCTGTGGGAAATGGTTTCTTCACCACAAAGGCTTGCCTTTATCCACCAATGAATTAAGCAAGGAACTTCTGGGAGGCAGGGCTTGATCCACGACACTGTTTTCATCAGCATGTCCTGTATAGTGAAAGTACAGGGCACATGGAGAACCAAAGTACCTTTTTGAATCTTTCAGTGGGCATCCATTGCTGTAAACAGGTCCTGCATAAATATCCATTGTGTTAATAAATGGCATTAATTCATAGTACAAACTTACAAAAGCTGAAAGTCAGATGTATGTTGGCCCCAAGTTAGAAATGTTCTTTCACATGTGACCAATTGCTGACATATGCATCATGTGGGCAGTTCCTATATCAAGGGATGTGAGGATGCCTTAGGCCTTATCCTCCCTAACCATTTGGTGGACTTTGAATTTGAACAGGCTGTTGGTGTTCAGATGAGCAACTGTGATATGCACAGTTAAGTAACAAGTAAATAAGTGATGTGTGCAAGATTTTGTCTACAGGAATCAGTTATTTATTTCAGGGTGGTATGTGTGTCTGTGTTCGGGGAGCTGTAGCAGTTTGCAACATCATCCTCTGCGCATAATTCTTTTTATAATTCAATTAGCTGACAATAAGGAATTCACTGACATATTCTTTCAAGTGTTAAAATAAATCTGATGAAAAATATTGCTCACCATATTTTTAAAATTAGACTTTGATTTCTTAATTAAAATGTGCATGAATAAATAAAACGTTGGTGATACATTTGGAAGATACAACAAATAATTGAGCGGTTGGGAGAGGGTAATTAGAAAAGCTGCCAATACTGACTAAGGATACAGAGCCCCTGTTGGCCAGCTATCTTTATTCCCCTGCAGAGCTACAATTGGTGTATAAAGACAAAAGTGATTTTATCATGATTCTGTCACAAAGCCCTGCTTCAGCCCTAGAGCAACAGAGTCCAGGAGTGGAAAAGATGACACACCTCAGCTTTGGCAAAATTCCCACTGTCTCAGCATCCTTGCTAATTAGCTGCTTCACTCTGCATTCCCAGAAAAGGATTTAGCCACCTATGGAAAAATGAGAAAGACCGTATCTTTTTCATCATCAGGTTCTAAGGCAGTACAGATAATGACACCTCAGGGCTGCTTCCAGTATGAACTCATTCCTGTGACAAAAAGTTCAAGTTCCAAGTTGTACGGCCGGAAACACAGCCTTCTGTGCCATTCTCCGTGTGTGCATGTCTGACTTGACAGCTGAACACAGGTGCAAGTCATTCCTGCATCACACTTTATCTCATAGTCGTATGACACCCAGGTGCGTTTGTATGAGCTGTCAGTTGGATGAGAGAGACGGTGGGTCTGATCCAGCAAGGCTTTTTCTATGCCCTTATGTTCATGGAAGAGAATAACTGACACTGAGGAGTCAGGAGTTCTTGTTTACATTTTTTTTCCACCTCTCTCTCTATCTCTGTATGTGTTTGTGCATGCACATGTACCAGTCTGCTGACAGATGATTCATCTCATATATCTGATGAGGTGGTTTCTACTCCACAAAAGCTTTTGGCAACAATATGTCTACCTTTAAGTTCTCTTGTCTACATGAATGAGGAATCCCAGGGTGTTCATACTCTTTTGACCTATCTTCGATCATTCACAGTTCACTGTGTTTCTGTATGGAACTGTGATCTTCACATACCAGAGAAGACAACTCAACTGTTGTTCACATATTCACTTAGAGTAAGAAGAAAGGTAGTTGAAAGCTCTTGACCAGTTCACTTTAACTTCTGGTTCAACATGTAAACAAAACAGAGTCTTCAGTGAGCTCAAGTGTTGTTTGCAGAGGATAACCAATCATGCATACAGATACAACTTATACCTAGAAAAACGAATCATCGCCAATCTAAAAAAAATCTACTTATATGTTTAGCACAGGGTTACTTAACAGGATGTCAAGGATGTGCAAAAATAGAGTACAGGAACAAGTAGAGGATTCCAAACAAAAATGTCCTATGTTTTTCTTTGTAAAAGAGGGAAGAACAATATTAAAAATCATCATGAGGAATTCTTTATACTACTGCAGAACAGCAGTGCCATTGAGTGTGGGAGGATACGAATCAAGGCTGGGCACTCAATGATCTAGTATTGTTGGCAGTAAGCAGGTGATCAGTGCCTAGATGAGAGCTCACCGAGAACCACATGTAGCTGGAAGAATACAGGCTAAAGGATAAAAAAGAATTGACAAAGGCAAAAGAACGAAGGGTCTGCATGTTAGAAGAGATGGTGTGGGTGCTTTTTTTCAATCTTTCTGGTTGATCAGTGCCTCGTGAGACTAGTGATCACACTGCCTGGAGTACTGATGAACTATTTGTGGCAGACTGCGACACAAACCATCAGCAGCAGAAATGAAAAACAAAATACTACAGATTGTTTCATGATGCCAAGGGTAAAATAGGAAATTGCAATATTCTAATTATTTGTGTCTAAATCTTTCTTCTAACCTCTTCCAAATATATTATTTTTGAGTCTGTTTTCTGTGTTTCCAGAATGTGCTGGAAACCATGTGAGCAAGAGACCACTTGCACCATAGGGGTACATATAATGGATAGTCCCATCCTGCCATCTAGGGGTCCACATCAAGCATTTTGTGATTGTATATTTTGCTGGCTTTTTTCAGAAAGGGAGGGAATGCAGTCATTACTATAAGTAAAAGCAAGCATTTTATGAGTCATTAAACCCATTCTCCCAGCAGAGCAGGCAGTAGTAAGGTACCTACTGGTGATAAAAGGCTCTGTTTGCAAAGAAACTAAAGACAGAGACGATGGAAGAAGGACTTAAGCTTATTTTAAATATGCAGACTCTGCTTCTGAATTAGCACCATGTCAAGTAAAAAAAACCCCCACTTATCTGAAAATGCATGTGTGAGTTTGCTTGAAATGGGGACAAACCTTAACTCTCTTTTATACAATTATTATTTGTTTCCAACCACAAAACCAGGGAGAACAATGTTATTGCTGAAACAAGCAGTGAACAGAGCTGTACGATCAATGTTCAGATTGCTAAAATGAAAAATGAAATAGCTGTTTCATGAGAAGTTTAGTATCCTGAAGTCTCCAGCACCAAGCAAGGCTGTACAGGATTGCTTTCTAAAATCCCTTTTTTGAAGGGGGGGGGGAGATGGTCAGGAAAGCTGGCAAAATGTACCACCTGATAATTTCTTTTTCTTGCATCTTCTATAGAACCAGCATTAACAAGGCAGACCAGCAATGAAAGGGGTCTTTAAGAAGCCAATAATATTACCTTTGCTCTTTCCTGGCAATACTTAAATAGTTTCCACATGGGGATGGGATTTTGTGGTTTCCTTGTTGCTGGTGCAGGCACAGATAAAGTACAACAGCAAGAGAAATTCCATGTGGTAGGTGTCCTTGCAGTCTCTAACTCCTTCCCTTGTGAAGATACGTCTTTTTTTCCCCTTTTATGTCTTCAAGGGAAGGGGCTAATAACTTACTTCTTTAAAAAATGAAACTTGAGAATTCAGAGAACCTGCTACACCTATTGTTACAACAGAATATTGATATAATGATATTCTAGGGTTGATTTTAAAAAACATGAAATATCCTGGGGGGGGGGGAGCTGCCATGTGGGCCAGAAAATCCAAACTTTCCCACCCACACAGCAACCATCCAGGATTTACTGTGATATTTCCCAAAACTTCAGAGCAAAGCAGATTTGAGAAAGATCAGAGAAAAGCTAAGGAAATCCCAGAAGGTGCACAAATGCACCACAATACTGTTGGATGCAGGGGAAAAAACATTTTTTCAAAAGCATTGAACTTGAGACGGATAACACTTGAGGAAATGTCCTTAGTGACTAAGTGGAATTGTATCTATCCCCAGACCATAGGAGCTAAGGTTATCAAAAACATGATTACTGCATTCTATGGCCGGCAAATTATTGGTTTTAGTCCAATAAGAACCAGGCAACAGGTGGGAGATGGAGGACCGGGTAGTTATTGCAGGGGGACAGTGATCTTCTTTGATGTGTGGTCCAACCCAGATGTACCAGCATTGCACTAGAGTAATGCTCTATCACTCGAGTTTTGGAGAGAGTGCTGGAGTGTTGCCCTGGTATGATGCTGGTACTTCAGGGTCATGCTGGAAGTGATGTCATCTAATGGCAACAAAGATCATTCCTGGCCCAATTTGACATTCTGCTTCCACCCACTGCTCAGAAGAGCATCAGTAGGCATCAGAAAGAATTACCAGGAGTTTCTTGCATTAGCGGGTACCTAGTAAACCTAAGAACTCATACTATGAATGATGGATGAAGCAACTGGTTTCATATTTACTGCATTTATGGAAACATTATTTATTTGTTTGTTTGTTTTGTACCCTGCTTTCCCTGCCAAAGCTTCTAAGGTTTAAACTAGATGCAATGTTACAGATCCATGATTGGACCTCTCATCTATTTAGAATTCTGTAAATAGAAGCCTGGAGCATGATTCTAATCAGTAGGAAACTGGGTTCCCACACCCCTCAAGTGTTCTGTGCACAAAACACCAATTTCTCCTTTCGACTGCAGTACCACATCACGGATCATTCCCAAGGTCCCCCCAACCTTCTGGACTGATTCGTTGGGAGAAATTAAAAAA